ATGAGTGAGTGTGTGTGGGTGTGCAGCCGTACGCTCGCCCTTACATACATTTTCGCGTATGTGTGTGTGTGTGTGTCCTTATGTATACACAACGCCATCTACCCGTCGGCATCTCTGACCTCGAGAGCACAGAGGAGGCACCGGCCCCACGATCCTTCCCTTAACAGGCCTCCTTCAGCACCTTCCTCAGTGCCCCCCTCAGTGCCTGCCTCAGTTCCTGCCTCAGTGCCTGCCCCAGTACCCCCCTCAGTGTCTGCGTCAGTCCCTCCTTCAGTGCCCCCCTCAGTACCTGCCTCAGTGCCTGCCTCAGTGCCTCCCTCAGTGCCTGCATCAGTGCCCCCTCAGTGACTGCCTCAGTGCCCCCCTCAGTGCCGTGCCTACCTCAATGACCCCCTCAGCGCCTGCCTTAGTGTTTCCCTCAGCACCTTTCTCAGTGCCTCACTCAGTGCCTGCCTCATTGTTTTCCTCAGTGTTTCCCTCACTGTCCCCTCAGCACCTTAACTCAGTGCCTCCCTCAGCACCTTTCTCAGTGCCTGCATCAGTGCCCTTCTCAGTGACTGCCTCAGTGCCTGCCTCACTGCCCCCCTCAGTTCCGTGCCTACCTCAATGACCCCCTCAGCGCCTGCCTCAATGTTTCCCTCAGCACCTTCCTAAGTGCCTCCCTCAGCACCTTCCTCAGTGCCTGCCTTAGTATTTCCCTCAGCGCCTTCCTCAGCACCTTCCTCAGTGCCTGCCTTAGTATTTCTCTCAGCACCTTCCTCAGTGCCTCCCTCAGCACCTTCCTCAGTGCCTGCCTTAGTATTTCTCTCAGCACCTTCCTCAGTGCCTCCCTCAGTGCCTTCCTCAGTGCCTCCCTCAGCACATTCCTCAGTGCCTCGCTCAGCACCTTCCTCAGTGCCTCCCTCAGCACCTTCCTCAGTGCCTCCCTCAGTGCCTGCCTCAGTCTTCCCCTCAGCACCTTCCTCAGTGCCTCCCTTAGCACCTTCCTCAGTGCCTCCCTCAGCACCTTCCTCAGGGTCTCCCTCAGCACCTTCCTCATTGCCTGCCTCAGTGTTTCCCTCAGCACCTTCCTAAGTGCCTCCCTCAGCACCTTCCTCAGGACCTCCCTCTGCACCTTCCTCAGTGCCTGCCTCAGTGCTTCCCTTAGCACCTTCCTCGGTGCCTCCTTCAGCACCTTCCTCAGTGTTTCCCTCAGCACCTTCGCCAGTGCCTGCCTCAGTGTTTTCCACAGCACCTTCCTCAGTGCCTCCCTCAGCACTTTCGTTAGTGCCTCTCTCAGCACTTTCGTCAGTGCCTCCCTCAGCACCTCCCTCAGTGCCTCCCTCCGCACCTTCCTCAGTACCTCCCTCAGCATCTTCCTCAGTGCCTCCCTCAGCACCTTCCTCAGTGCCTGCCTCAGTGTTTCCCTCAGCAACTTGCTCAGTGCCTGCCTCAGTGTTTCTCTCAGCACCTTCCTCAGTGCCTCCCTCAGTGTTTCCCTCAGCGCCTCCCTCAGTGTTTCCCTCAGCGCCTTCCTCAGTGCCTGCCATAGTGTTTCCCTTAGCACCTTCCTCAGTGCCTTCCTCAGTGTTTTCCTTGGCACCTTCCTCAGGGCCTCCCTCAGTACCTTCCTCAGTGCCTGTGTAGACGAGGTCGTCTTCCTATTGCAAGACGACCGTTGCTTTTGCAGAAACTACAGCACTCAACAGGAATGATATCCTTCTCGTCAAAGGAAAGATTGTCGTCTACTGGGGGGGACCTTTGCTGTGGCCTTTTAACCTTTTTTCCTTAGGTTCTTTTTTTTTTTTTTTTTTTTTTTGCCACTAGCAAGCCTGGGGAATTTCTCTGGATTTGAGGTATCCGGCTTTAGGTGGGGAGGTGTTTCCTTCCTCTTAGGAGGTCGGGGAGTCCTTTCCCTTTTATTATGTCCCCAGACATGGGTGCCTGGGGGCGCTGGAACAAAATCAGGATGTTTTTTGGTTTGTTCCTCCCTCAGTGCCTGTCTCAGTGTTTCCCTCAGCACCTTCCTTAGTGCCTGTCTCAGTGTTTCCCTTAGCACCTCCTCAGCACCTTTCTCAGTGTTTCCCTTTGCTCCTTCCTCAGTGTTTCCCTCAGCTCCTTCCTCAGTGCCTGCCTTAGTGTTTCCCTTAACACCTTCCTCAGTGCCTCCCTCAGCACCTTCCTCAGTGCCTGCCTCAGTGTTTCCCTCAGCACCTTCCTCAGTGCCTCCCTCAATGTTTCTCTTAGCACCTTCCTCAGTGCCTCCGTCAGCACCTTCCTCAGTACCTCCTTCAGGGCCTCCCTCAGGGCCTCCCTCAGTGTTTCCCTCAGCACCTTCCTTAGTGCCTCCCTCAGCACCTTCCTCAGTGCCTCCTTCAGTGCCTGCCTCATTGTTTCCCTCAGCACCTTGCTCAGTGCTTCCCTCAGTGCCTGCCTCAGTGTTTCCCTTAGCACATTCCTCAGTGCCTCTCTCAGCACCTTCCTCAGTGCCTGCCTCAGTGCCTGCCTCAGTGCCTGCCTCTGTGTTGCCCTCAGCACCTTTCTCAGTGCCTCCCTCAGTGTTTCTCTTAGCACCTTCCTCAGTGCCTCTTTCAGGGCCTCCCTCAGTGTTTCCCTCGGCACCTTCCTTAGTGCCTCCCTCAGCACCTTCCTCAGTGCCTCCTTCAGTGCCTGCCTCATTGTTTCCCTCAGCACCTTGCTCACTGCCACCCTCAGTGTTTCCCTTAGCACCTTCCTCAGTACCTCCCTCAGCACCTTCCTCAGTGCCTGCCTCAGTGTTGCCCACAGCACCTTCCTCAGTGCCTCCCTCAGTGTTTCCCTCAGCACCTCCTCAGCACCTTTCTCAGTGCCTCCCTCAGCACCTTCCTCAATGTTTCCCTCAGCTCCTTCCTCAGTGCCTGCCTTAGTGTTTCCCTTAGCACTTTCCTCACTGCCTCCCTCAGTACCTTCCTCAGTGCCTGCCTCAGTGTTTCCCTCAGCACCTTCCTCAGTGCCTCCCTCAGTATTTCTCTTAGCACCTTCCTCAGTGCCTCCATTAGCACCTTCCTCAGTACCTCCTTCAGGGCCTCCCTCAGTGTTTCCCTCAGCACCTTCCTTAGTGCCTCCCTCAGCAACATCCTCAGTGCCTGCCTCAGTGTTTCCCTTAGCACCTTCCTCAGTGCCTGCCTCAGTGTTTCCCTTAGCACCTTCCTCAGTGCCTCCCTCAGTGCCTGCCTCAGTGTTTCCCTTAGCACCTTCCTCAGTGCCTCCCTCAGCACCTTCCTAAGTGCCTGCCTTAGTGTTGCCCTCAGCACCTTCCTCAGTGTTTCTCTTAGCACCTTCCTCAGTGCCTCCGTCAGCACCTTCCTCAGTGCCTGCCTCAGTGTTTTCCTTAGCACATTCCTTAGGGCCTCCCTCAGTGCCTGTGTAGACGACTCCCGCAACCTGCAGCGCGGCATACTTCCCCCAGGTTGGGTCCAGGTCCACAGCCTGTCCTGACAGACTAGCTGGGGTTGCCCGTGATGCTTCTCCCGAAGCTAGTCTGCCATTCGAGGATTTTGGGATTTGTGGCTCTTTTTCGGTTTGGAGGCTTCTAGCTTCCTTCCTTTCAGAGCTGCAACAGTTTGGCTCATAGCCGTCATGGCGACCTGGACTGCCTTCTCCGCCTCCTCACTGGTCCTGCATAAGGCTGTTGCTACCGCATAAACTACAGCACTCAACGGGAGAGTCATATCCTTCTCGTCAAAGGAAAGATTGTCGTCTACTGGGGGAGACCTTTGCTGTGGTCTTTGAACCTTTTTTCCTTAGGTTCTTTTTTTTTTTTTTTTTTTTTTTTGCCACTAGCAAGCCTGGGGAATTTCTCTGGATTTGAGGTATCCGGCTTTAGGTGGGGAGGTGTTTCCTTCCTCTTAGGAGGTCGGGGAGTCCTTTCCCTTTTATTATGTCCCCAGACATGGGTGCCTGGGGGCGCTGGAACAAAGTCAGGACGGTTTTTGGTTTGTTCCTCTTTTTTAATGACTGCCTGTTTCCTGGCAGAACAAGCCAGGCTCCAGGCATGATGTCTCTTGGCACAGTTTGGACACGGCTGTTGTGTCCTTCTTTGTGTGCCTTACTGCACACACCACAATTAGCTTTGGCTTTGCAGTTGGCCTGGTGGTGTCCAAATTTCTGGCAAGTGAAACACCTCAAGGCCTCTGGCACATATGTCCTGAGCGTATACGAGCCCCAGTCACCCAGATCAAGGGTGGTGATTGGGGCTCCCTTGAGGGTCTTTTTCTCTTGGGAGGTCAGTGGCGAGATACACACTTTTCTCCCATCTTTAAATACCTTGGTTTTCTGCAGGAAGTTAAGGTTGGCTTTGTCTTTGGGGACAATAATCATGCCCTCATCTCTAGCAAATCGGATTGAGAGTCTGACTTGCCTTTCCTTTTCCAATGCCCTAACCAGCTGGTAGGCATTGTCGAAGTCTTCAGGCTGCTTTCTTCTTTTTTAAAGTGCATGAAGCGATTTGGGGTGGGTTCAGACTCTCTGTCGCCTCGCGCCTCCCCTTTGCAGGGGTTTAAGGCCTTTAGTAGTAGGGGCAGCTGGTTTGGCTGGTTTAGCTTGAGCCCTTCTTGACTTTGAGAATTCTGAGGAGATTTCAGATTTCTCTCGGTCTGAGGTGCATGGACAGACTTTGTTGGGGGTGATTTTTCTGTCTTGTCCATGCTCTGCTTGCGTTTTAGCTTTCTTTTGTCCCCCTGTAGCCTTGTAAGGCTTCAGGGTGACTGCCTTGGTCAGTTCCATGTTGTGGTCGTTATCGTTTTGATCATTTAGAGAGGAACTCGGCCCGGGAGCCGGAGCTTAAGTGGGGCTGAGCTGTGCCAGCTACCCGGGAATGAAGGGGAGCCTGCGGTCCAATGGGCGAGCCGTGAGGTGTCAGGTGTCAACCAATCAGGTCTCGGTATGCGTATTCGAGAAGACAGGCTGTGGACCTAGACCCAACCTGCGGGAAGTATGCCAAGCTGCAGGTTGCGGGGGTAGGCTACACTTCCTCAGTGCCTGCCTCAGTGCCCCCTTCAGTGCCTGCTTCAGTGCCCCTCTCAGTGCCTGCCTCAGTGCCTCAGCCTGCCTCAGTGCTCAGCACCTTCCTCAGTGCCTGCCTCAGTGCCTCCCTCAGCACCTTCCTCGGTGCCTCCCTCAGTACCTTCCTCAGTGCCTCCCTCAGCACCTTCCTCAGTGCCTCCCTCAGTGCCTGACTCAGTGTTTCCCTCAGTACCTTCCTAAGTGCCTCCCTCAGCACCTTCCTAAGTGCCTCCCTCAGCACCTTCCTCAGTGCCTCCCTCAGCACCTTCCTCAGTGCCTCCCTCAGCACCTTCCTCAGTGCCTGCCTCAGTGCCCCCCTCAGTACCTGCCTCAGTGTTTCTCTCAGTGCCTGCCTCAGTGCCTCCCTCAGTGCCTTCCTCAGTGCCTCCCTCAGTGCCTGCCTCAGTGCCTTCCTAAGTTCCTCAGCACCTTCCTAAGTGCCTCCCTCAGCACCTTCCTCAGTGCCTCCCTCAGCACCTTCCTCAGTGCCTCCCTCAGCACCTTCCTCAGTGCCTCCCTCAGCACTTCCTCAGTACCTCCCTCGGTGCCCCCCTCTACCTGCCTCAGTGCCTCCCTCAGCACCTTCTCAGTGCTCCCTCAGCACCTTCCTCAGTGCCTGCCTCAGTGCCCCCCTCAGTGCCTGCCTCAGTGTTTCCCTCAGCACCTTCCTCAGTGCCTGCCTCAGTGTTTCCCTCAGCACCTTCCTCAGTGCCTCCCTCAGCACCTTCAGTGCCTCCCTCAGTGCCTGCTTTAGTGTTTCCCTCAGCACCTTCTCAGCCTGCCTCAGTGCCCCCCTCAGTACCTGCCTCAGTGTCAGTGCCTGCCTCAGTGCCTGCCTCAGTGTTTCCCTCAGCACCTTCCTCAGTGCCTGACTCAGTGTTTCCCTCAGCACCTTCCTCAGTGCCTCCCTCAGCACCTTCCTCAGTGCCTCCCTCAGTGCCCCCTTCAGTGCCTGCCTCAGTGTTTACCTCGGCGCCTTCCTCAGTGCATCCCTCAGCACCTTCCTCAGCGCCTCCCTCAGCACCTGCCTCAGCACCTTCCTCAGTGCCTCCCTCAGCACCTTCCTCAGTACCTCCCTCAGTGCCTGCCTCAGTGCCCCTCTCAGTGCCTGCCTCAGCGCCCCCCTCAGTGCTTTCCCTCAGCACCTTCGTCAGTGCCTCCCTCAGCACCTTCCGCAGTGCCTCCCTCAGCACCTTCCTCAGTACCTCCCTCAGTACCTGCCTCAGTGCCTGCCTCAGCGCCCCCCTCAGTGCTTTCCCTCAGCACCTTCGTCAGTGCCTCCCTCAGCACCTTCTTCAGTGCCTCCCTCAGCACCTCCCTCAGTGCCTCCCTCAGCACCTTTCTCGGTGCTTCCCTCAGTGCTTGCATGTGTTTCCCTCAGCACCTTCCTCAGTGCCTGCCTCAGTGATATCCTCAGCACCTTCCTCAGTGCCTCCCTCAGTGCCTGCCTCAGTGCCTCCCTCAGCACCTCCCTCAGTGCTTCCCTCAGTTCCTGCCTCAGTGCCTGCCTCAGTGCCCCTCGGTGCCTGCCTCAGTGCCTCCCTCAGTGCCTGACTCAGTGTTTCCCTCAGTACCTTCCTAAGTGTCTTCCTAAGTGCCTCCTCAGCACCTTCCTCAGTGCCTCCTCAGCACCTTCCTCAGTGCCTCCCTCAGCACCTTCCTCAGTGCCTGCCTCAGTGCCCCCTCAGTACCTGCCTCAGTGTTTCTCTCAGTGCCTGCCTCAGTGCCTCCCTCAGTGCCTTCCTCAGTGCCTCCCTCAGTGCCTGCCTCAGTGTTTCCCACAGTACCTTCCTAAGTGCCTCCCTCAGCACCTTCCTAAGTGCCTCCCTCAGCACCTTCCTCAGTGCCTCCCTCAGCACCTTCCTCAGTGCCTCCCTCAGCACCTTCCTCAGTGCCTCCCTCAGCACCTTCCTCAGTACCTCCCTCGGTGCCCCCCTCAGTACCTGCCTCAGTGCCTCCCTCAGCACCTTCCTCAGTGCCTCCCTCAGCACCTTCCTCAGTGCCTGCCTCAGTGCCCCCTCAGTGCCTGCCTCAGTGTTTCCCTCAGCACCTTCCTCAGTGCCTGCCTCAGTGTTTCCCTCAGCACCTTCCTCAGTGCCTCCCTCAGCACCTTCAGTGCCTCCCTCAGTGCCTGCTTTAGTGTTTCCCTCAGCACCTTCCTCAGTGCCTGCCTCAGTGCCCCCCTCAGTACCTGCCTCAGTGTTTCTCTCAGTGCCTGCCTCAGTGCCTGCCTCAGTGTTTCCCTCAGCACCTTCCTCAGTGCCTGACTCAGTGCCTCCCTCAGCACCTTCCCTCAGTGCCCCCTCAGTCAGCCTCCCTCAGTGCCCCCTTCAGTGCCTGCCTCAGTGTTTACCTCGGCGCCTTCCTCAGTGCATCCCTCAGCACCTTCCTCAGCGCCTCCCTCAGCACCTGCCTCAGCACCTTCCTCAGTGCCTCCCTCAGCACCTTCCTCAGTACCTCCCTCAGTGCCTGCCTCAG